TTTAAAAGTATATTTTGTATGTATGTATATATATACATATATGCACACCCCTTATCTGTAAAAGGAGGGTAGCAGTACTAGGAGCTGTTGTGAGGATTCAAATCAGAGCCTGGCACATACATGCTTGATATCACTATATGCACAAAGATGTGTGCACTTGTTCATACACTGACGCATGGAAGAGGATCTAGAAGAGTACATGCCAAGGTAGTAAGACTGATATGTCTGGGTAGGTGGCCTGCAGGCATTCTTTATTTTCTTCTTATTGCCTCTCTATGATAGCTGCTGATTTTTTTTTTTTTTTGGTAATGAACATGTATTGCATTTATAATAAGGAAAAACAAACAATAAAAGCTATTTTTAAACAAAAAGAATGGAGAGGAATGACTCATTCTCTTCCTTGTTTTTGTTTTCCTAATTAGAAAGGTAATAGGTGTTCATCATGGAGAATTTGGAAAGTGTAATGAAGAAAATAAAAATCACCCCTTATTTCATCACCCAGAGCTGAAATAAGGCTATCATTTAATTGCATTTTCTTTCCATATTTTTTTTTCTGTGCATTTTAACTTAGTTTCCCAGTCTGGTGTCTATTCAGTTTTGTGCCTAGTGTTTGTCACTTGATCTTATAATATAAACATATAATATCAATTATAAACATAATTTTTAAATCCAGGGTAATTCCTTTAAGTACCTGAAACCCAGTGTACTTAAATGTTCCCCTGTGGCTGAATACTCAGCTATCTCTAATTTCTTGCTACCATAAATAAAGCTGTAATGAACATGTGCAAGAGTCAGCATTTTGGATTCCTGCCACAGGACAGACTTCCAGAAGTGGAATTACTGGGTCAGAGATTCTCAAGACTCTTCATACTGCCAAACTGCCTTCCAGATATGCACCAACTGATGCAAAATTACTGATCCCTCCTGGGAACATCAGGGAAGGCTCTGAGCGTAGCATGAAGATAAGGAGAGCTTCCCTGCTGGGAAGCAGTGGCCTCCCAGGCAGTGAGCCATGAGACAGAATTAGGGGGCAGTCTCTGTGGTCTTGTAACAGGAATGTGCATCTGGAAAGATATCTGCGGGTGAGATGGGATTGGGGTCTTAAATACCAAGTACGTGAGTCGGAGTTTTCTAAGAGATGGGCCGTCATGGACAGTTCTGGAGCATGGGCAGGCGATTGTATTTCTTAGTGCCTAGTCCATCGCCTCCCATGTCCAGCCCCAAGGATACTCTTAGGAAGAATAGTACCGTGAGACTCAGAAACCCGAAACTGGAAGCTGCAGTCTTGGAGGCTAAGCTGGGGAGCGGAGGAGAGGGGAACAGAGGGAAGTGGGGAAGGAGGGGGGTCTCCTGAGGATTCCGTGTGCTGGCACTGACCTGGTTTGGTTTATAGAAGAAGTTTCCGAAAGGTCCTCGCCAGAAAGCCGTGTCTCCTGCTCTCAAGGACTCGACATACCGGGACATCAGCCCAGTCTGGTAGCACTGGGAGCAAACACAGGAGACCTCATCGGGACGGGCAGTGCTGCCAATACACACCACACCAGCCATTCCCGGGGAGCCCTTTCTGCAACGCTAAATACTGTACAAGCGTCATCTCAATTTATCATCCTCCTCATCCCACAGGATTGGTACTGTCATTCCCAATGTTCAGAGGAGGCCCAGGAGCTTACACACAAGGGACATGGTGAGGCTGGGATGAGAATCCATAGGACCTTCAGCTTTAACTACAGAGGTCTCAACCCAGATAACTCAGGGCCCATACAGGTAACATAACTGAGTGCAGAGCTGGGTATGAAATGATTAGTGACGACTAACACTCAGTCTCAGTTCCAGAGGGCAGCAGGGAACGGTAGGGACTGTGGTAAATTGGGGAGTGAATGCTCCTTCTAAAGGAAGAAGCCACTTTGAGGATTCCAGTACAGTTGGTGGGGCTGATGATGTCAGATCTGATTTTCCATAGGAGCAAAACATCCATATTTTTATGTTAAATCTCCCATTTTTGAAATGTCAGCAATTAAGTCAAATTTTTAAAACACTCTACAGGCCAAATCCAAATAAAATTAGGGCTGGAATCAGTGTGTAGGCCACTCATTTGAAATCTCTGCATCAGCCTACACTGTTTCCTGGATGGATGAAAAAATGAAGGATGTGGAGATTCCTCCATGCAAGGCAGTCCACATTTTCTGAGGGCCTGCCCTCACTGTGCCAGGCACCATGCTGAGGCTGCAGGGAAGACAGCTGGACCTGAATTCATTCATAAATATATGAATGAACAAATGAATGAATGAGTGAATCAATCAATCACTCAGTTATTCAGATTAAGGAGCTCACAGTCCAGGAGGAACCTGTCCTGTCTCAGACATACACACGGTAGAGACTACCTAATACTGCATGAGAAGGATAAAGTGCTGGGAGAACACTGAAGAGGTGCAGTCACTTCCAATGGAGCAGGATCAAGAATAGCTTCCTGGCCCTAGATGGTTTGGCTCAGTGGATAGAGCATCAGCCTGTGGACTGAAGGGTCCCAGGTTCGATTCTCGTCAAGGGCACATGCCCTGATTGTGGGCTTGATCCCCAGTAGGGGGCGTGCAGGAGGCAGCCAATCAATGATTCTCATCATTGATGTTTTTAATCTCTTCCTCTCTGAAATCAACAAAAATACATTAAAAAAAAAAAGATAGCTTCCTGGAGGAGGAAGCGTTTGAGCTGGACCTTGAAAACTGAGTAAGATCGAATTCTCTGGGAATGGGAGGTAGAGGGCAGAGAGGATTCTGGGCATCAAGTATGGTACGGTCAGGGGTAGGACAGCCCAGGTGAGGTGCTGGGAACAGCAAGTGGACACAGTAGGGTGGGGGTAGGAGGGAAGCACCGAACCACAGGACTGGAAGGGTGTTTGATATGATTATAACCAGGCTGGGCTCTGGTCACCAGACATGCTTTTCGGCACCCCCAGCCACCCCAGCACCATCCCTGACTTCCTTAGACACCAGGTGCCTGAAGCCAGGGAAGTCCTTGCTAGGCTCACCTGGAAGAGATCTGGGAGGGAAGCTACCGTTCTCCTAACTTGCTGGAGGCTGTCTCAGGGCACACCTTGTTTTCTGGCCCCGGTCTCGGGAGGCACAGCCCACACAGAGCTCAGTACACACTAGTTAACTAGGACTGACGCTGAACTTTTGTTCTTCCACTTGGAATTGTATTACCCAAGGGGCCTGGGGAGAATGACATCATCCCTCTGATGTCATCCCTTCTCCATCTGTAAAATGGGGATATGACCTACTCTGTAGGGTGGTTATGAGGTTGAAACGAAACAATAAAGAGCCAGAAGCAGTGCCTGGTGCCCAGGAGGTGCCTGAGAATTGGGAACTCCTCCTTCTCCTCTACCAGGGAGGGTAAACCTAAAACCATCTGTCTGCCCAATTTGCAAAGACATTTCCAGCTCTTCCTAGCCAGCGGCTTAGGGGTAATTAAGCATCTCTCTATAGAGAGGCTTTCTGGGAAACCAAGGAGAAAAGCAGCCTTGCAGCTGGGAGGGGACTGTCTCTAGGCTTATCCTTTCAACAGAAACACACCCAGACAAGCAGCTTGGGGAAGCAGGCCATTTGGAGAGGATTTGTGGAATCTCCCAGACAAACAGTTGTGCGGAGAAGGGATCCCATCCAAGCTTATGTGGGAGGGAGTAAACACTCGGGCTCTGAAGGCAGGCAGGGGAGGTGGGAGCCGGAGACAGTGCTGGGGTCTTGGAGTCAGGAGGCCAGGGCTCACCATCTGCCACACTTACTGGCTGTGGAGCTTCAAGTTCTCCTGGGGCCTTAGTTTGCTTATCAATGAAATGGGGATAATCCCTGTCCTACGAGGGAGGTAAGAGGATGTGAAAGCTATTCTTAAACACTGGTGTTCCCTAGGACTGCATTTGAGAAATGATGATCTAGAGCAGTGGTCGGCAAACTGCGGCTCGCGAGCCACATGTGGCTCCTTGGCCCCTTGAGTGTGGCTCTTCCACAAAATACCGACTTCTGCGCATGGGCCATGAAGTTTCAATCGCACTGTACGTGCGTGCCCGCACGTGGTATTTTGTGGAAGAGCCAAACTCAAGGGACCAAAGAGCTGCATGTGGCTCTCGAGCCAGTTTGCCGACCACGGATCTAGAGCTATGTATTAGGCTGACCTAATATGACACTGCTGTTTCTGTAAGTCAAAAATATTAGAGTATCAGCAATTTCATGCAGTCCCACCTAATTATTTTTTCCACATAATTGGACTTTCATGACTTCTTATATACTTGGTGTCTATTCTTTGGGCCTCTGGGGTATTTTGTATCCAACCCACTTTGTTCATCTCATCTCTGCCAACCCCCTCACCACCTTGGCTGCCACACAAGCACCTTTCCTCCTGCCATTCAGACTGGGAACAGTTTCCACAAGACCTTGCTCTGTTTCACCTCTCCCTGCCTTTGGTTATCCATCCTCTTGGCCTAGATGCCATTCCCTGCCACTGCCAATTTCTACTCCTCCTTTAAGACCCAACTCAAATGCCCCAGCCCCTGCCCACCTCCCCGAGAAATAATCTCAGGTTAGTTTGGTCCACAAGGTGCTCCGCACCCCACTTTTCCTTGCATGGCCCCTTTCGATCCAGGACAAATAAGCAGTTCCCCCATCAGACCTCCTTCTCCACTGCACATGCAGTTCCCAGCACTTAGAGCAGCAGTTCTCGACCTTCTGGCCCTTTAAATACAGTTCCTCATGTTGTGACCCAACCATAAAATTATTTAGAGCTTCCGCCCACCTTTCCCTCTGGCTCCATTCACCTTTCCCTCTGGTTCCCCACTCCTTTACTTAAACATACAGCATCTTCTGCGAGGGGGCCCAGCCTGCTCTCCATAGCTCCAGCCACCCTGTGCTGTACTGGGGCCTCCTGGCTATGTGTCTAACACACTGTACAATTCCGGCTGCTCCGCTGTCTGAGGACCCCCATGCCCAGCACACAATGGGTCCCCTTTCCCCCAGGCTCAGTGCTCTCTCCACCGACAGGCACAAAAATGAGGAGCAGCTTTCACTTGCTCAGTCTGAGGCTCCTTTTCATAAAATCTGTCAGGAATAAGCCCTCTGTTGGGGGTTGAGCAGACCCCTTCACCAGGAAGGAGATGGGAGAAGCCCCTCTCTTCCCTCGGGCCAGCCTCCTTCCATGTGAGCACTGGCTCTTCCACATCAGTGGGAATTGCCCCATCCCCCCCAAGCCAGCAAATGGGGGCTTCCGTCCACAGCTCGGAGCATCGTGTGAGTCAGCTCACCTTGATTAAAACTTCAAAGTAGCCTTCTGCATTGACAGGGCTGATGGGTGTGTAGGCTCTCTGGATTTCTAAGCCATCTACTGTCCCTCTGGGAGAGAGAAGCACTCAGTCAGGCAGGCAGGCAGGCATTCGACAAACCCGTCTAGGATCCGCTCCACCAGGCTGGTGAAAGCAAAGGTGGGCCTGATCATCCCCAGTGGTCCTCACTGAGGGGCAAGCAGGGAAAAAGAGCACCGAGACCCCCGCTGCCCCATGCTGGCTGCATCCCCCCACAGGTCATCCTATCTAATAAAAGAGAAACATGGTAATTAGCGTATGACCGCTACCCTTCCCATTGGCTAAACAGGGCAATATACAAATTAACTGCCAGCCAAGATGGTGGACAGCAGCCAGGCAGCTTAAAACTAACATGAGGCTTGCTTGCTTCAGTGACGGAGGAAACCAACGTTCCCCAGCTGCCGCTGCAGGCCTCTCAGCCTGCAGTTTAGAAAACATTGTAACAAATATAGAAGCTAAACAAAACCCCAGAAACCTGCTTTCAGTGAGCTGGGATCTCAGAGCTGGAGTTATACATTGTTTCGATTATAGAACTGAAACAAACCAGATACCAGCTTTCACCAGGCTGCCT